TGAAAGAAATAATAAAGAAGACTAGAGATATTAACAATAAAACATGTCTATTAGACAATATGCAAATTATGTATCATTAGATTTTTTAAAATGTGTACATATCATTAATATATAAAGATAACTATCAAAAATATATTTATAGAGTTGAGCTAAATGATATTTTATGTTGAGACATGTGAGATAAAGTGAAAGAATTTGAAAAGCCCCTTTTAGGTGGAATTTCAATAGGGAATTTGAAATGCTCAAATCTCCTGTCAAAAGTCCTCATAAAATTTGAAATTCTCCAATACTACCCAAACCATCAAGTAAATTCAATTTTAAATTTTTGATATCCTTGACTGAAATGAAATTCTCCTTCAAATACCTGACCCATACTCACCATAAGAGCAAGCAAAATAAGCATTCCAGGACTTTATTAGCAACATTAACATTGAAGGCACTCACCAGATCCCTTGAGAATCTTAGCCATGTTTCGAGCAGCACCCCTTACTACAAGGCGGAAATCCCTCTTAAGACCAACATATTTGGCATATTTCTGTTTAGTGAGTGATAACGGAGATAAGAATTCACACGGACTAATATCAAATTAAGCCAGAACAGCAATGAACCAAAGGCCATGCAGCCTCATGAAAGAGATAATGATGAAAAAACAAAGTGAAATTTACTACTAATTCATTTAAGTTTAAGAAAAGTAAAAGGGAGTCTGAAATCCTAGTAGAACATGCACATACACACACACACACACATGCAGAATTAATTGCTTCTAGGAGAAATCATTTGTAACCTATCGCATTCCTTGAGGCGATGTAAAGGAAAACTAAATCAATTCAAAGAAAAAATCTTGAAAGTTATCAGATTCGGATAACTTGGTTTGGGTGTTATATTTCCAATTTACCTCATTGACAGGAGCTTCATTGTCTCGTATAACAGCATCATGACTATCAATTTCTTCCCCAAATGTGGTCTTTAAGAGATCACCTGAGTTCCCAACAACTGCACATGTGCGAAACTGACGTGGATGGAAAGGGGGTTTTGCTGGTAGAAGCATATTAAGATTTTCTTCACAAAGAGTTCGATTGTAACATTTAGCAGCTCCCCTACAAGCCACAAGAAACACAGTTCACATGCTTACATAATTCCAAAAGACAATTTTTACAGCAATTTTGCTTAAAACCAAATCTGAGAATTGGAAAATATAAGCCATTGTATATGTGGATATAAAATCATACAATTGTGCAATCCTTTTGGCTGCATAGTCCAACCATCCGTCTGGCCGAACATCTAGATATTCTCTAGTCAAGATTGTTGTCATGTTACGATACTGCATTTATAAAAATGTCATTAGGACAGAAAACTCCTCAGTGGAAAAATATCCAAGGAAAAGGATTGGACATTAACCTGCTCCCACAAGAGAATGGCATCACAAATATCATAATTATACTCCAATGGTTCATAAATCTTAAACTGCTCATTATACTGCAATCATAGAGGGAGAACAATAAGCAGAAGAAGGCATTGAACATAAATGAAGCAAAAAAGTGGGAAGGGATGCATTATTGAGAGAAAAGAAAGAGAACCGGACCCAAGTGCTGTTTGTGCCTTCAGGAAACTTAAGAATCAATTTGCAATGATCAATAATATGTGCAGTGAGCCCAAGTCCTCTATTCTCCTACATTGAATTCAAGTTCAGTAAATTCAGACTTCCACAAAAAATATACAATCATTATCAACACACATATGCATATTATTCTCGACAAAATGAACATTTAGATTCAACAAAACTAGTCCAAGTTTTTTATCATTATGTTATGCAACATGAAATAGAAACAAGATGGGAACATCATCCTAGCTTTTGTTTTTATCTTATGACTGGATTTTAGCGAACATTTGGTATAGGAAAAGTGACTTCCATCTATTCACCTGTAAGAATTGAGGGAATGCCAGCCAAATAAATTCTTTATGTAAGAAGGGAGGATTTGTTGCAAAGACTGTAAGGTGACCAGGGACAATTGTTTCTACACAACATTAGCATCTAGTTTTAGGTGTTCATTTGAATAAGAAATATAAAAAAGCAAGACTTATCCTAGATCCTAGGCTTAAATGAGAAGGATAAAAAAGAGACAGGCATTTTTACTGGATAGACTAACTCAAGAGGCTAATTGAGAACTGAGAAGACAATTTCAAACCTAGTGTAATATGGAATAAAATGGTTGATTGGGCTAAATGGGTGCCTAAGGAGTAACAGAGGGCTCTAAGAAATATAAACTAGCAAAGAAAGAGGCCAAAAAAGTATTACGGAAGGTTAAAATGATAGAAAAAATATATTTTTAAGCTATTATACAATATTTACGAAAACAAACTTAAATTGTGGAAAATCAATTTCATTTAATACCAAGATGATCCACCATGGTAGTGATTCAGCTCTTGTGTGTAATTATTGAGAAATTTAGTGTTAGAACAAGAAGTATACATGATTTTTATTAATTTTGAGCAAATTTATAATATGGTATATGCTAAATGAATTTTCAATGTAAAAAACTTGGAGTGGATTGATGGTTGAGTTTTTATTAAAGTAAATGTGTAGCAAGAACCAGGGTTGAGTTCTTTTCGCTCTTTATCATCGTAATAGATGAGATACTAAAAGGCATTCAAGATTAAATATTTATGTGTATGATACTAGCATCAGATCAAAGAAGTGATTAAAACTGAATTAGGGTTGGGAAGACAAACTCCATAAGCTAGGGGGTTTAAATTCAATGGATAACATTCAATCACGCTCGACGGTCAAGTTGGATGTGTAGTAAGCCTAGGTAAAGCACATTTATAAAAGAAGATATTTGCATTTAAGTTGAGATAGACGATACAAAGAACAAGGTAAATAGTTGAAAGCAAGATAAACAAAATAAAGAATGGTTGTAGATAATAGAATGATTCGAATAGGAGGATTGGTGTACCGGATTTAAATATTTTTTCTTGAATTTATGGCAAACAATATTCAATGGAAATAAATAAAAGCTTAAAACTATAACAGGAAAATAACTAACCACGCATTGTTGAACGCTGGTTTGAAACTCGGATAAAATCCTGACTTCCTGGGGATTGAGATCTGATACCCGCACTTGTTCTTTACTAAGATCTGTGTTCTTTTTAATAGGACCTGAAAACCAAGAATAAAATTAAGCAATGTACAGAAATAAGATCATTAAAAAAGGAGAAGAAATACCTGAGAAGAGAGAAGATTGGATTCCGAAAATAAGAATAGAAAATAATGCAGCTGCACAGACAAGAGGGAGAATAGCGGATTTCTTGTGAGACTGAAACTGAGAACGAGATCTCATTGTTTTCCACTTTCAATCCTGCTACTACTCTGTTCTCAGTTGAAAATTCGATTTATTTCTCGCTGAAAGTAATCGGCTGGTTACAAAATCACGCTTAACCTATTCCTGTTCTGATTTCTGAGTTTAGAGGTCGTGTTCAAACAAACAGAAATATTTTGGAATTGGGATTCTGGGTTGATGTTAAATCGAGGCCAAAATCAGTGAGTAAAGAAAGGAGACAGTTTTCTGTATTGCATGCCAAGATTGACACCGATAGTTCCACATTTTCCGAATCTAAATCCAGCCCAAGTTACCACCTTTAGAGAAACAAAGCTGAAGCCCAATCCCTTCCAAAAGAATTGATATTGAAAAAAAAAGAGCTTTTAATGGAACGAGTGATGAAATTGTTAATTTCAATTAAAAAGGATTACTATAAACTGATGTTACCTGATTTCTTTCATTAAATCAATTTCATTGTAGTTGTATTATTTGTTCTACTTCTACGGTCGAATGAAATCAGATTTTTTTATTATCTAAACTCGACTTGAAAATTAAATTTTATTCATATTGATCTTATCTACATTTAGAGAGGTTCCACCCTACCTGAAACTGGACTCGACTTTTGATGATAAAATCTTATATTGATTTAATCTAATCCGACTCAACACAAATATGTAAATATATATATATAAAAAGTAAAATAAGATTAAAATGATATTATATAAAAATATATTATTATATTATCTAAATATATAAGGGACGATTATAATATCAAATCGAATCCAACAAAAAAAAATCACCTTGAACCCCAACTTAACCCCATCCTTCAAAAATACTAGCCTGCGTCTATCCAAACGTGAATTCTCATAAAGAGTGCAAAAGTTTAACAATGGTTCGTTCATAGCTGTTCTTTTATTTATGTGATCGCGTGATGAATTGTGTACTAATATTTTTTATGTGTAGACTTTTGTATACATTTTGATAGCTTAAACATGAAAGTTTCTTTAACCAAAGTTTTTTCTCGGGGACAAAATTCATAGTTTATTCTTATAATTAGGTTGTTTGTTAGAACATTGGATACTCTGTGCTTTCTGTTGTTTTCACAATTTGTGATTTCCTTTGGTTCACATTATCTATTTTTTATTAGTCTGAAATGATTATAAGGTAATATTTATTTAGTTTTTTTAACTATTAACAATGTAAACACATTACAAACGTAACTGCTTGAACTTAAAACCTTTAGAAAGAACAACATGCTCTTCTACCATTGAGATCACTCGATAAATTCTACATTGTCTAGGACCATAGATTCGTAATATGTTGCACAGAATACGAATAAGTAGCAGTTTTTTTTCCCATGCCATCGATCTTGCAAAGCCTTCATTTGTGAGTATTTTCTTAAATAAACAGAGACTGAACTTCTTACAAAACTAATGTCTACTGACTAAATAATTCACAACCTAAATGAGATTCTGAAAGTTGGAATATAGAAGCAACCGAAATAATTTCACTGCTTTTTTGCCATTCCTCTTGCTACTGCTATCTTCTAAGATGATACAAAGTTCAGTTGAAAAATACTAAAGAAAAAAAGGTAAAACAAATGCCAACATTTCAAAGATTTTACAATCATGATTGTTACTGAACTTCCTATCAAAAAAAAAATTATTGTTACTGAACAAGGTCAAATGGCCTTTACCTTCACGTTTTTGGTCTTTTGCTTAGCAATGCAACGATCAATTTGTATGCATGTCCGTCAGATCTTAAGTTATCCATAGAACTTCTCAAATAACTTCATCACTGAATGTTCTTAAGCAAATGCTCCACCATAATTATCTGTTGTGCTGTGCTCAGAGATTCCGAGTTCATGATTGCATTAGCAACAACAACAATGGTGTCTGGAGAGGCAGCATTCACCTTCGATAAAACACCAGCATTAGAGTAGTCTTAGCATTACAGAAGTTTTGAATAGAGTTATAACTTCTATTAAGTAGAAAAGAAAAATCAGTGGCTTAAATGAGTTTTATATTTGAATTGATGAGGGAAAGGAACCGTAGCATACCCAAACCCGACCGTTTAAGCCAACAGCTATTTCAAAGGAGAGTTTCTTGCCAAGGGCCTCAAGAACCGGACATGTTGGTGAACTTAACAGCCTGTAAAACCAGAAAGAGAGAGAGATAAGACCGGCAATGATAAAAATAGAAACTTACGTATCTCAAATAAACATAGAGCTGACTCACTTTCTTGATAAGCCAGTTGAAGTTTCAAACATGTATCCATCTTTGAGGGGGCCAAATTCAGCAGCTTTTCCATTGGCTATACAAAAAAGACATTAAAGGTAATCTCCATACGAAAATAAGACATTTACAAGGAAAAAATGCATTTGTTGGTGCAAATATAAGGGTCTGTTGACTAACCATCAGTGCAGGACAATTCAGGGTTCATGCCAAAGTTTGCCTTCACAACCCGAAGATAAAGAAGAGTACCAACCTGCAGTGAAAAGAATCATACACAAACATGTGTGACTGAGACAAGATACCACATTAATAATTGCAAACATGTGCACACAAAATTCAGAAAACAAACCAATTTCTAGTTTGTAACTTCAAGAATATTGAGAATTAATCTCAGAACATTGCTGGCAAGTTACACATTGGTGCGCAAAGAAAGGAAATTCAGTTGAAATATGATATTTGCATAAATAATCACTCTACGATACTCTGATAGTCTGATTTATGCCATATAAAATTTTGATAAAGCTACACAAATATCAATAAATCAGTGATGCTGTACCATGAATCCGGAAGGTCCAAGGTTCAAACAAGATAACTGGTCTTGTTTTCCTCAGGAAATAATGTTCCTCCAGAAGGAACAATCCAAACAATCCCATTGGAAATAAGATTGAATTATGAAAGATTCCACTAATGTATGTCCACGAGTTACTACAGCATAAGAACATCTAGATGAAATGCAGTGGCTTGTCATAATTAACGAAACATGAACTGAAAGTATCCATACCTCAAACTTTGGTATATTTCTCCTGGTCCCCCCTTCAAATGCAAGCACAGGCAAAAAGGCCAAAGCAGGTCCTTTGATGTCAATCAGAAAATTCTGGAAGGAGAAAAGGAACAATAAAATAATGAGAGAAAGGCTAATTTCCATTTCTGAAAAGCAGATTTACCTTTTAAAATTATGAAACACAAGAAAAATAATATTTATATGCAACTCATCAAAATACGGATCATTACAACTAGAAAGGACATGGTAGACGTAGATAAGAAAAAGGACATGGTAGACAACCATATTCAAACAGGGTACAAGACATAATTAGTTTCAAAGCAATATATTTTTTTGCCTGTGTTAGTTGCTCCAAGATGCAGAATCTATTGTGGAAGAGTCAAACATTCTCCTCCATGTAATTTTATTCTTTCTTCTTTCATTGTGAAACCGAAACAAGTTCCACTGTACAAGATGACAGTGACAGTTGCAAAGTTGTAGCAGTTTACATGGCACCATGCCACAGCAGCTGCACCAGTGGTCAAATTCTCTCTTCATCGCAAAATAGTAAATATACCGTTGTTTAATTAAATATGTCCATCGAGGTGGAAAATGCAAGCCCGGTTATATGAACGTAAATTGGGTGACCGCTATCAAACTCTGAAAATGAAAGTCAACCTTGCACTTAGCCAAAAGAACTTCTGAGAGAGACAGGACAGCTACTTGTGCTATGTCACTGTTATTAGATAGGTAATCTTCATAAGAAATTGCCAATGAATCCCTAGTGCTTCACCTTGTGTATAGTCTCTCAACTTTTAGGCTTCAATAGTCTTTGAAAACTTGGGCAATGTAGAGTCTTCAAGTTCAGTTCTCCAGTGAGCATGGATAATTCATATAGCTAGTTGAGAGTAGCATAGACAAACTTTTATGCAGTAGGCACTTAAACCAGCAAAAGTTAGGAAGTGACATTTGAATCCATTTTTATCAAGAAACTAAATCTAATTTTATGTCCTCCCTAATTCATTGTTTACCATACCAAATACTTATTTTCAGCTAAATATCTCCTTAACTAACCTCATTGAGATTTTTCTCACTGAATCAACAGTTTGCTTATGGTGCATAACAAGCACAGATATTGTCGTTTGCCATCTTTGCCACTCCATGCATGTCCTTTTACTGAAGTTGAATGGAAGCAGAAGGGAAAGAAACTACTACGCAATAGAAACCAAATTTAACCAGGTACATGCAAAAGCATCATCTTATTTGGAGATTAACTGCTTTTCAAAAGCTTAACACTAAGTTATACTGAAAATCAGTTATTACTTACGCGTTCTCATAAGATCAATCCATCTTAAAATTTTCATACTGAATCTGTGAGATACTGAGATTACAATATGATCTTTGCGAATAAGCTCCAAAATTTCCAGATAGTTTCTATCAATTTACATAAAAACTTCTCTATGATCATTTCATGAAATCTTCTTTTGCTTTTCTCTCATCTGTTTAAGAGAATACAGGAATTACATTATTACAATAAGGCACTATTAACATAGTTGGACTTTCATTTTTCCTTTATTCTGTTATACCCAAAGACAGTTGATCCCTCTCTTTTTGCTAGCCTTTATCACAGAACAGCATCACCTACTACCCTTCATGGTCGTAAAGTCAAAATCAAGAGAAGCAGAAGAAGAAAAACTAGAAAGAACTCTGAACTTTCCTTGCGTAATCTATATTACCCAACCAAATACACCATTTCGGTTTGGAGCTAGATGGAGTTCTTGGATGTACAAGTGTGTCTCAACTGCTTCCATTTCGGTTTTGGTAAATGGCACACCTACGGAGAAAATTCACACTACTAGAGGATTAAGACAGGGCTGTTCATTATCTCCTATGTTGTTCAATTTGGGAGGTGAATTGCTACATTTACTGTTGGTGAAAGCAGTAGACAAGGGGCTGTTTTCAGATTTTGAATTAGGCTCTAATGAACGTTCTTTCATGTTATCACATTTGCAATTTGCGGATAACTTAATAATTTTTAGCAAGGCTTCTACTCATGATTTGGTGAATATTAGAAGGGTGCTTTTAATTTATGAACTGCTGGTAGGTCTGAAGTTGAATCTAACTAAGAGCAGAATTTTTGGAATTAATGTGGAGGAGCAGGAGTTAGCTTCTTGGGCCAAGGAAATAGGTTGTGTAAGGGGAGCTTATCCATCGGAGTACTTAGGTCTAACGTTGGGGGCCAAGAGGAATTCACTTTCCTTGTGGGAACCGGTTGTACAAAAATTTTATAACAGTTTGGCTGGTTGGAAGGCTAAGTCTTTATCACTGCTGGAAGGGCAGTCTTGGTCAAATCAGTGTTGTGCTCTCTTTCAATTTATTACCTTTCTATTTTTCGGATCCCTATTAGTGTACTCAACAAATTAAACTCTATCATGGCATCTTTCCTATAGGGGGGTCGACAGAAAAAAAGAACATTCATTGGGTCAAATGGGAATTGGTGTGTAAGCTAAAGAAGTTGGGGGGTTTAGGGATTCCGAATCTGTTGCTATTAAACAAGGCTCTTATGGGGAAATGGGTGTGGAAATTTGTTGCAGAAAAAAAGCTCTTGGTGGAAAACAGTTGTGTGTTGTGTATACAATATGGATCCAAATTCAATGATGATCCGGAATACTTGGACAGCACGTACTTCTTGGATTTGAAGAGGAGTTGTTAAGAACTTCTTTTCAAGTGATGAATTTGGGGATTGTTTTAGGAAAAATTTGTGTGTGAGAGCTGGAAATGGAGAAACAATGCAGTTTTAGCATGATGTATGGTTGGGTTCGGTTCCTCTGAAAGATAGGTTTCCAAGGCTATTTGCTCTTTCGAATAACAAAGGGGGTAAGGTTGCAAAATTCAGATTGTATAATGATTCGGGTTGGGTCTGGGATATTCAAACGAGAAGGAATTTGGTGGATTGGGAGGTTGAGCAATGGCTGCAACTTATCTCTCTGTTGAACAATTCTTCATTGTCTTTAGTAGAGGAAGATTGTTGGATTTGGTTGGGAAATGGAGAGGGTTGTTTTATAGCAAAATCATGCATGGAAATTTATTTTGATAGAGAGGGTAATGATGAAATAGAAGGTAATTGGGTAAGACATGTTTGGAAAGGGGTAGCTCCACCACGAGTGGAAACTTTTGTTTGGCAACTTGCTGATCGTAGAGTAGCGGTGAAGGAGGAACTGCTGAAGAGAGGAGTAACTGGGGTTGAAGACACTATGTGCCCAATGTGCAGGAAGTGCAATGAGTCGGTCTCACATTTGTTTCTACACTGTAATGTGGTGTGGGATTTGTGGGCTAAGTTTTTAAAGTACTGGAATGTTTTCTTTGTGGTTCCTGAGAAGTTGATGGATTTCTTAATTGCGTGGGATGAGCTAGTTCCGAGTTCTCACATATGGAAGTTTATTCCAAGGGATGTGTTGTGGTCGGTTTGGAAATGTAGGAATGAGGTGATTTTTCATAAAGGGAAGGTAGATTCTGCGTTGTTGTTCTTCATTACACGATTCAGAATTGTTTCTTGGTTTGGAACTTCATTTAAGGATGTTCATATTCCTTTCGATTCTTTGGTGGGGGATTTAAAACTAGCAGACTTGCATGGCAGTCTGAAAAAGAGGTCTCCTTTTTCTTCTAGGTGGAGTCCTCCTCCGGAAGGGTTCTTAAAAGTAAACGTTGATGGTGCAATGGTCAAAGGTTGGGTAAGGGTGGAATAGGTGGATTGATTAGGGATGGCAGTGGTACGTTGCTCGGGTCGTTTTCAGAGAAGGTAGGGGGAGGTCCTCCTTTACTCGCAGAGCTATTGGCGATCAAAAGAGGGTTGATTCTTATTGAGGAAGTTGATTATAGTCCAAGTCAGAGGATTATTTTGGAATCGGATTCGACTAATGCTCTGAAGTGGATTAAAAATCCGAACCTTAGTACTACTTTGTTTCAATCCTTGGTGAGGGATATAGCTACTCGTGTGGAAAGGAAGGGTATTATCACAAGGCATATTTCGAGAGCTTCAAATTGGGAAGCGGATGAATTAGCTAAAGCTGGTATAGGTTGATTTTTAGGTTTGTGCAGTGGTTTAAGGTGTTCTGCCTTGGTTGTTCTTTAAGGGAGTTATTAGGGTGTGTTATGTATTCAGTGTTATGGGTTATATGCTATGATGTGGAGGTGTATTATTGTTCATATTAATAAAAGTTAGAGGCACTCTTTTCCTCCTTCCTAGGTCCTTCATGTTATGTTTGTAACATGTAGGATATGAAGGGGGTTTTAATGAGACCTTATTCTATCCAAAAAAAAATACTCCATAAGAGAAAAACCAAATTGATTTCGCTCCCCTGATACACCACCCATCAAAATAGAATACAAATATTTCACGCACTAAAAAGAAAAGGCGAGCATTTAAAGTACTTCACTTCATACAATACAAAGAAAAAAGTGAACTATCAAAACATTCAACATTTAGTTAACAACTAAATAAGGACTTACATCTGCTTTAGAGTCTACCACAATAGCTAGAACAGTATCTTCCACGCAAGGCACATACTGTTTAAAGAAACAACGAAATATAACTGTGATATTGAAAATAAGGGAACAATAATCAGAAAATCTTTCATTGGCACTATAATTAAGGAGTTATACAAGCATGGAGCTAACCCTTTTTTGAGAACTTTCAACCCAGTACTTATTTGGTTTCGAGAATCTAAGTGTTCCAGCCTTCATCGCAGGAATAGCATCACAATCCTAGGGGAAAAAAGAAATCCATCCACTTTACATTATCATTTATTAAAAAACTTTTAAAGACCAAACAAAAAATAGATAAAGGGGTTGTGAGAGAAACAGACAGACCTGACGGAGACCACCACCTAGCTTGATGGTCTGGTTGGTCATGGAGGATAGGTCAAGCACCACATCCCCTGGAACCTAATACATATACACACACGTGAGAATTGGATAAACAATCAAAAATCAAAAGCATGCAGGGAAGAAAAAATAGAAGAAATAGATAACATCATAACTTACTACAGTCGAATCAATGAAGCTTGCCGGCGAACTGGACTTTTTATTTTCCATTGAAAATTCCTCTTTTTCCTATTTTGAAGCTGCCAAATCTGTTGAACGAGCGGAGTTGGTATAAACAAAAATCATCACGAATTACAGAAAAGCTAAAATAACTCTAATGCATCACCAAATTGATATATTGAATTGAGTTCTAAAAATAAATACAAAGCTTCACCAATACTCTTAGCTTATTTTAATCCAAACGTATGGTGTACATAATAGGATGTTCTAAATCTCAATATCTGTTGCCTTATATTACAAGATTAATCAAAGAGATTTTGAGCAAAAGAAAACTTACATTGGTGGTTGATGTGGGTTAATTTCAGTGGCTGACGGCTCAGCTGTGGGTGGAGCAACCGAGCAAAGCAAGCCAAGGGAAACGGTGATGTGGCCGTCGGCTAAGGGAGGCTGAGAGTGGGACGGAATGTCGGGCTGTGTAATCGAGTTTTTAAGGGGCTAACGGCTATTTGCCTTCGATCCTCCTTTATAACTTTCTTGTAGGGTTTAGTTTTTATTCAAGTATTTCATTATGGGTAAATTACAAGTGTAGAAGCTAAACTTTCTAATAATTCATATTTTACTCAATCAACTTTATAAATTGTTTTTTCTATCACTCGACTGTTAATTCCATAACAGTGTTATAACGTGGCATATTTTAAAATTTAATAGAAAAATAATGTGAAATTAAAAATCCAAATGGGACCCAATCTCACTTTAAAAACACCTCCTCTCTCTCATTGTTCATCTTTTCCTGTTATTCATCTCATGTATCTCTCTCTCGTGCATTGCCCCCACTTTTGTTTCGTTTTTTATACAAAGAAAAGGTAAGCTACATTGGCCTGCACATGTATGAGAGATTTAAGAAGGGAGTAGTGACAAATTTGAATTTTATTCTTGATCAGTTTTCTTTTACAAAATCAGAGGTTTCTTCCGTATTTTAAAGTAAAAAAAAAATGTCATTTTTTGATATTTTATTTAAGGGGGAAACCCTGTTTTACGGGGATGACTCAAATTTCGTCAAAGTCGCTGATTCCAGAGTTGTTTCAAGTTTCGGAAGACGATATCAAGGCTCAAGGGCCACCTCGGTTTGATCTGCGAGTTAATCGAAGCACCATTGATAGTCCCTTTGCTGCATCATGGTGTCTACATTTGCTTAGTCATGTCGCTTATGCTTTTCGGGAAGCGGGTTTACAAGGGAATGATCATTATTCTGGTTAAGATTTTCTGGAAAAAGAATTAGAGAAGCGTTACAAGTTTGAGCTCATTCAAGATATGCTCTGTTTTGGTATTTCATTTCTGGATTTTAGAGAGAGAACAAACACGGTTCAAAACCACTACTAACGCCTCCATCATGTTAGTAACATCATCATCATTCACAACTGAGCTTGATGAAACATAAAACTCATGAAAGAAATTAAATGGAAACCCGTATTTCTTTAAAAAAATAGGCTAATTTAAATTCAATTTCCAAACCCTTATACCAGCTCTTATAATCGTAGTTTTGTTTGTAGCCAATCGCAGACACAACTTGGTCTTGCTCATGCTTTCGATTTCATCAAGCTCTTGAGCTTATTCGATTGTATTTTCTTTGAAGATTCAATGGTTACTCCAAGTCCAATATGGTGCCCACTGTTCGCCTCTGTCACGGTTTTGCCTCTCCACTTTAGTCTCTCGTTTCTCCTCACCTAATACTCCTCGTAAAACTTGCTAAAGCCAGTGTTATTTGTTTTCCCATTTCCATCCTAGCCAAAGCAAGTCACATGACAGTGAAGAACGCTAAGGGTAAGGTCGGTAGGGTTTGGGTGGTCAAATAAGATTTTGAGGTTGGGATATTAAGAGTAGTCGATGGGGGTTGGGGTTTAAGGATTAAAAACAGAGCTCTGTATCTATCTTCTTCAGCTGAACTGAAGGTCTCAAGTCAAACCTTTGTTCTACTTTATTTTTAATTATTTTATTTTTTATATAGTAAATTTAATGATTAAAAATAGTTTAAGTAAACCATGTCATAACGGCGTGAGAAATTTAACGGCAGAGTGATAAAAATTTAATTTATAAAATTGAGTGAATAAATTGAAAATTTTAAAAGTAATGTGAGTAAAATATAAATCATATGAAAATTTAGTTATCAAATTTTTAATTTACCCTTTCATTATTGTTATTTTTTATTTCAACTTTTTAAAATTTATTTTCTTAGGAAATAAATGTTAATGTTGGATTTAGGGCGAATTTGATATAGCTCTTCAAAAGTGATTTGTAAAAGTTATGTAGAAAGAATTTTTTAAAAGTGTTGTATAAAAATACAAATTAAAGTTTAATTTATTTGAGATTATCGTTAAAAAGTGAGTTTGAAAAGATGAAATTTTATTATGAACATTATGTTGTAAATTAAAAATATAACATTTAAATTGTATTTACACTTATATCTAAATTATATTAATTTAAACTATAATAAATTCAAAAAATTATTATATATAAATCATATCAATTTAAAATATAAAAAATATAATTATAATAAAACTATAATTTATATAATTTATTATTAATATTTTAATATATAAATTATGAATTTATTTATTTTAAAATAATTAAAATAAATTATTAAAAGTAATAAATTATTTTTTAAGGAGGTTAGTGTTAAATTGTTATTATTATTATTATTATTATTATTATTATTATTATTATTATTATTATTATTATTTGGATTGAAAAGAAGCCTAGAACATTAGGCTAGAGCGTTGTCAAAACAGCGTGATAAGTTGAAGCAGCATTCGAAGCGAGCAAATTTATGATCTCCATTGAGGGAGCTGAACTCCAGCAGGTTGAAATGATCAGGCGGGACAATCTTGGCAAGCCTATCAGCCACTTTGTTTCCAGACCAGGAAATCCATTGGAGCTGAACCTCCCACGCTTGGTTTTGAAGGTTAACAATAGCCCGAATCAAAGAGAGATGGCTACAGAAAGAGTTCCTTACATTCAGCAAATTAATAGGCTGAGAATTATCCGATTGAATGATGAATTTCTTGAGGCCAGTATTCAATGCAATGAATTAGTATTAAATTATTTAAATAAAATATAAATACATAATTGAGTGGAGCTTATGAATTAGTAAGACTAAAATTATAATTTGCTTCCGAACGTAAAGTTAAAAATGAAAAAAATTTAAAATCCAACATTTATGGTTTAGAATGCATTACCAAACCGACCCTTAGATTATTTTTATTTTTCATTTTTTACCTGTTTAATATTGATTTTACAATTAAAACGATTTTTTTATAACTAAAAGTGTTTTAGAATGCATTATCAAACGGACCCTTAAATTAGTTTTACAAGTTTACTTATTTAAAGAAAATTATTTGATGTATATTATGTAAATTTTATATTTTATAAGTCCATCTAACTTAGGATTTTGTTTGTTTATGATTTAAGATCGAATGATCTAAATTTTAAGGTTCAAAATTATAATTCAGATTTTAAGTTTAATTTCATATTTATAATTTAGGATTTAGAATGCAAGGATTAAGGGTCGAGGTTTTAAATTTTAAGATATAAGATTGAAATAACTAAATTTTTGTTGTTAATAAATCTGGGGTGATACAACGTGATATATGTTCAAAAACTCTCAATCATTCGATAATGAATGCTCATACACCTACAAATGTAGTGCTCGAACTTAAAAACTCAAAAATAAAAATTGAGTTTTAATTTACATTTCAATTAGTATATTGGGTCATTAAAGCGTCTATAATTGAATGAGGTGACACAACAACAACAACAACAACAACAACAAAATCCAATTCCCATATGCAATGGGATAAGGGAGAGATAGGGTAGTAGGCTGCCCCCAACATTGAATAACACCTTTTGAAGTATAAGCTTCCTAAAATGAATTGTGAGATTCAATGATAAACAGTGTACATGGAGCAAAAGGAAGAATTATTAGAACACTCAAAGAATAAATACAGAAAGCTCAAAACAGGATTAAACAAAACGTGGACAAATAGAGGAGTGCTAAAAGAAAATTTCAGTTGGGAGATGATGTACAGCTAAAATTGCAGCCCTATAAATGAAGATACTAATTTTTTTATCCATATTATTATTATTATTATTATTATTATTATTATTATTATTATTATTATTATTATTATTATTATTATTATTATTATTATTATTATTATTATAAATATATTAAATAAATATATATAAATAAATAATTACAGACCAATTACAACTGGACCGGTCCAGTTACAAACAAACCAGAACCGGTCCAAATCAAACCAGAAACCCTAAATATTTGGGGTTCCAGTTAGGGTTTCCTAACCCTAAATCTAGCCGGCCGCCTCATCACAGCCGTTGGATCTGGCACGATCCAACGGTCCAGATTGCTCCAGATGGAAACCCTAGGGTCTGATACCCTAGGGACACGCGGCCGCCGCTGCTATCTCGCCGCCTCCGCCGCTGCCACGTCCCAACCGAACGCTCCAGAAGCTCCAACGCCAGCCGTCCACGCCACGGCTACGGGGTGAGTCACCACTGGTAGTCCGGTGACTCACCGAGACCCCATCTTCGGACCGGTCCGACGGCTACAACGGTGGTGGCTATAAAAGCCACCACCCGAACCTGAAAAAGAAAAAAAACAGACAGAGAGACAAAAAAAAAAAAAGAAGACAGAGACTACACAGGAAACCGAGAGAGATACAAAGAAACTAGATACTAAAAACTACCAACGATCTCAACAATCAGTAGCAAAGAAACAGAAAAGAAAGAAAAAGGAAGAGAAAGACTTACCGAGGAAGCCAAACGCCGGATCTCATCAAAACCTTCAAAAAAACCGAAGGTATTCTTTTTAGATTTGCTCCGATTGGGAGCGGTTTAACGGAAAAGAGCATCGGAACCGTCATTAGGACGGTCCGATCTATGTTTAGATGTAAAAAAAAAATTTTCCGGCCACCGAAGACGGTGGCCGGCGGCGGTGGTTGACGGCGGACGAACGCCGACTGACGGCTGCCGGCCGATGGGCTCCTCTCTGATCTAGAGAGAAATTTTTTTTCTCTCAAATAAGAGAGAGAGAGGAGAAGTAGAAATGAAGACTGGCCCTTCGGGCCAGCCGGTTTGGACCTTTTATAGTCCTTCCCGAACGACGTCGTTTCGGGAAGGACTATGTGCGTAATTAAAGAATAGTTAAATCATTTCCGCAGCCATCTAAACTTGTAAACTTTACATTTTAGTCACTAAATCGAATTTATAATACTTTTAATTTGATCTTGAAATTTTAATTTTATTTATTTTAGTCCTTTTTATTAAAATAATATATTTAGGTTAAATAACAGATTTAATCCCTCAATTTTAATAAATAATATTTTAATCCTTAGTTTATATTTTTAATTTATTTTATTATAATATCCGAATTTTAGATAATTTTATTTTAGTCACTAAATTATTAAATAAG